AAAAACTTCATTCTGTATGATTTATAAGCTTTTGTACCCGTGGGGACCTCAATTTAGGTCCCCACCGTGACACTAGTCCCCATGAGTCTGTGTGTATTCAGGTTTAAGTCCCCACCAGAATAGAAAAACAGGTACACACATACACATTCTAGCAATTCCAACTTGCCATCGCAGTCTGTTCATTATTAAAATAAAATACAGTCAGCCAAACATATCAATATAAACCGGTCTACAGCTGCTTATGCCAAGCGCATTTTTGCGCATGTGAAGAGGATGATTTTTTTCTGTCGATATGCGAACGCGCATGAAGCCTAATCTACATTATAAATAATAGTTTAACATTGAATACATTGCGAATATGGAAACATTTGGATTAGTGCCGAATGAGAGAGGTACGAGAGCACAACGGTACTTTCAGTTTCGCTTTGTTTTGGTTTCTAGCTTTATATTTTTATTTTCATTCTCAATCTGTTCTGCATTCCGTTACATTTAAATGATTTGTTTTGGAGTGAGGGGAACTAGGCTATGATTATAGTGTATAATATTTCACTTTATTTGGTATTATTTCTGGTATTATTACACTCTCTCCAAATGTTCCGCTGCTCACAAAAGAGTGGAGAGAGTGGGTTAAGCAGTAGCACTAATCAACGAGAGCGATTTTGAAATGAAGAAAGCTGATTGGTCAATAATATGTTGAGGACCAATACATAATCTACAAATCATGCTCCAAATACATCTGCATAAACCTGCAATCGCTCCGTCTCGTATGCACGCACATGCACGGTCACGATCTAATGCACTTGTTAATGCCGGATCTTTAAAAACAAAGGTTCCTCAAGAACCTATGAAAAAAGTTGATTTAGAGGCTGATGTTTACATGCTTGAGTTTGATGTTGTAGGAAAAAAAATTAAATAAATGTATATGTATGTGTGTCTAACGACCACAGAGCCGACCTGTCAATCTCTCTTGATTTCAGAACCTAAACATTAGGTGCATTCTGACCAATCAGAGGACAGTTTACTCATGTGACTTGAATACATACATTTTTGAATGTTACCAAGGAGAAAACGCAACATTTTAACAATTTAAGTCATTGTTTCAGAACAAAGCAAGTGAAAACGCCCTTAAACTCCACTCAGCTCTCACCTTGACCATCTTGTCCCAGCCGCAGGAGACGATGATGGGGTTACTGCTGTTGGGAGAGAAACGCACGCAGGAAACCCACTCAGTGTGACTCTCGTCCTGAGGAACAACACAAACATCTCAGCTCAGACTTTAACCCTGGAACGCCTGGCATATCAAATAACAGTCTGTTTTTGGACTCATTATTAAAACTTTAGACAAAATATAGTTTGCATGTGTGTTTTTGTTGAGTATCATATTTGATCCATCGGGCTTTTATGGCTCATGTAGCAGGAGTTCATGAGGAGGAGGAGGAAAGAGCAGCTCAGTTTTAGAGGCCCAAACTGAGCAAAAATATACAATTTGGTGCAGATGATGATATTTATGCAGACAAAAAGTGATGAAATTCTGATGCTTGCAATGTAAATTAATGAGCTCTTTATAACAGTACAGCAGATACTGACATACACTGATCTAAATATCAGTCATCACTCTATATCTCCAATAATAAGATGAGATTGAAATGAGCCAAACATATAATGCAATGCAATCCGATGCTGATTGAGAGATGAAGAAATAAACGCTCCTCAGAAGCTGCGAGATGTTTTAGAGGCTTGTGAAGATCATTCCTCCGCTGAGGAACAGTGAAAGTGAAGGTTCTGGAAACAAACGCTCCTCAAAAGATCCTGATGATCAGATTTGAGATTTTGAAATGAAGAAAGCTGATTGGTCAATAATATGTTGAGGACCAATACATAATCTACAAATCATGCTCCAAATACATCTGCATAAACCTGCAATCGCTCCGTCTCGTATGCACGCACATGCACGGTCACGATCTAATGCACTTGTTAATGCCGGATCTTTAAAAACAAAGGTTCCTCAAGAACCTATGAAAAAAGTTGATTTAGAGGCTGATGTTTACATGCTTGAGTTTGATGTTGTAGGAAAAAAAATTAAATAAATGTATATGTATGTGTGTCTAACGACCACAGAGCCGACCTGTCAATCTCTCTTGATTTCAGAACCTAAACATTAGGTGCATTCTGACCAATCAGAGGACAGTTTACTCATGTGACTTGAATACATACATTTTTGAATGTTACCAAGGAGAAAACGCAACATTTTAACAATTTAAGTCATTGTTTCAGAACAAAGCAAGTGAAAACGCCCTTAAACTCCACTCAGCTCTCACCTTGACCATCTTGTCCCAGCCGCAGGAGACGATGATGGGGTTACTGCTGTTGGGAGAGAAACGCACGCAGGAAACCCACTCAGTGTGACTCTCGTCCTGAGGAACAACACAAACATCTCAGCTCAGACTTTAACCCTGGAACGCCTGGCATATCAAATAACAGTCTGTTTTTGGACTCATTATTAAAACTTTAGACAAAATATAGTTTGCATGTGTGTTTTTGTTGAGTATCATATTTGATCCATCGGGCTTTTATGGCTCATGTAGCAGGAGTTCATGAGGAGGAGGAGGAAAGAGCAGCTCAGTTTTAGAGGCCCAAACTGAGCAAAAATATACAATTTGGTGCAGATGATGATATTTATGCAGACAAAAAGTGATGAAATTCTGATGCTTGCAATGTAAATTAATGAGCTCTTTATAACAGTACAGCAGATACTGACATACACTGATCTAAATATCAGTCATCACTCTATATCTCCAATAATAAGATGAGATTGAAATGAGCCAAACATATAATGCAATGCAATCCGATGCTGATTGAGAGATGAAGAAATAAACGCTCCTCAGAAGCTGCGAGATGTTTTAGAGGCTTGTGAAGATCATTCCTCCGCTGAGGAACAGTGAAAGTGAAGGTTCTGGAAACAAACGCTCCTCAAAAGATCCTGATGATCAGATTTGAGATGCACTGATTTTTCTAAAAACGACTGATGGAGAATCAAAGTAAAGCCGAGCTGCTTCAGTCCAGTAAGTGTCTTCTGGAAAGTTATTCTTACATTTACTTGATAAAAATCAGTAAGGAATTGACAGCAGAAAGACATGTGAAGCACCAGCTGAAGGTGGACATTTGTCCAATTGCACTTAAAGACATTCTACTTGTTAAAAAGCCTAAACAATCAATCAGACAACAGAGAGTGCATTGTGTGTGACTGGTTTATCAGCAACATTTTGAGCATGTTAGAAACAAGCATATCAAATATGACACAGTAGGATTTAAACGTTTAATCACTTTAAGACGAGATCAGGACTAGATATCACTGCTAAAGCAGCCTCATTTTCAGCAAACCCCAGCTCTCACCTGAATGGAGTACTTGCAGACGCCCAGCGTGTTCCACAGCTTGATGGTTTTGTCCCGAGAGCCGGACACGATCTGCCGGTTATCAGCGGAGAAGGCCACGCTCAGCACGTCTTTGGTGTGGCCCACAAATCGACGGGTCGTGGTTCCTCTACAAACGACATTCGAAGAGTTTGAGCTTAGGGCTGCACAATTAATCGAAATTAAATCGCAAAGGCAATAAATCACGATTAGGCAGAAGCTGCGATTGTCATGTGTATCTTTCAGTGAAGCACAGTTCTGTGATCAGTAGTAAATCTCCATCCGAAGGCCAGAGGGCGCTCTCACACTGAAAATCCAGATATGCCCCGAAGAAGAAATCTCTGCAGCTGAACAGAAGATTGAACTGCTTTCATTGATTCAACGTGACTGATAAACACACAATTTATGGTTTATCTGAGTTCTTATTATTATAGTTTTCATCATAATAAAGTATATGATTATCACTGCTTAGAATACAATGAAATATTGTATGCCTTAATTATTCTGTGTAAGAAGCCACATCATCTCACAGAAGGATTTATTTCAAACACACGACTAACATTATGAAGTGATTTGAGTAAAAACATGTTATTAAATGTGGTATTTTCACATGCTTTCAGATGGAGCAGCATTTACTTCACAGAGCCGTAGTTCACGGAGAAGACACGCAAACAGCTGTCATTATCGCAATCTATTTCGCGATTTCATAATCCTACGATTATATCGTCTGCGATTATGAACACGGTTTTGCATAGCTTGTCAGAGAACTACGGCTCTGTGTAGTAAATACTGCTCCACCTGAAAGCAGGCGATGGAGATTTACTACTAATCACAGAACCGGCTTTACTGACGAGATGCACATGACACTCTCGATTAATCACGTTCGATTAATCGTGCAGCCCTGTTTGAGCTCATAAGCCCACAGCATTTGAAGCACAGCCTCCGGCTCCGGCCCGCACTCACGTGGTGAGGTCCCACAGACGCAGGGTCCCGTCCCAGGAGCCCGACAGAGCGAACTGACCGTCCGATGAGATGGCCACGTCGCTCACGAAGTGCGAGTGTCCGCGCAGGGCTCGCTGAGGAATGCCGTAGTTGGTCTCGTCGCGGGTGAGTTTCCACATGATGACGCTCTTATCTACACAGACAAGAGCACAGACCGTAGAGCAAGTGACAAACTACTAGTTAGTGCAGCCAGGACAAACATGATTTATCCACCAAAACATCCCTCAAATTCAAAAAGCATCATTAAAAGCCATTACATGACCAACTAATGCCAGAAAACATGCATTTCAAAGTGACACCTGGCTAGGTTAATAGTTGCTATTAAATAGTTAAGGCAGAACCGAATAGAATAATAGCCGTTTTTGATTTCTCAGTAAAATGAAGCATGAAAATTATCATTATAAGAATTTTTTTATTTTACAACATAAAACATTCAACATATAATTGAATCTTAAAGCTGCCATTTTTAAAATAATAGTGGGTATAGATCTTTTTTCATTAGAATTTAAAATTAAGACATTTTATTTTACAACAAAAATCATTCAACATATAAATGCATTTTGAAGCTGCCATTTGTTAAATAATAATTACAATCATATATGAATAACCGGAATAAGACTTCAAATTAAAGAGTCTCAAAACATTAAAAATATATTAAAACGTAAAAACTAAATTAAGGTTTCATTGATTGCAGTCACAATCATCTGAAAACATTGTACATTTAGTAAGGAAGGGACCATTATTCTTTATTAGATTAAAATGTAACTTATTTATTACCAAGAACATGGCATCACAGTATTACCATGGTATTTCTTAAAGTGCTTTGGGCTGCCACGGAAATACCATGGTAAAGCATGGTGTTATTATGGGATAGCACCGCAGTACTTGTAACGCCAGACAAACACTCATCCGTCACCTCTGGACGCGGACAGAATCATGTCCGGAAACTGCGGCGTCGTGGCGATCTGGGTCACCCAGCCGTTGTGGCCCTTCAGGGTCCCTCTCACGGTCATCTGCTCGGTCATCTCGGCGCTCGGTCCCGGTCGATGGCTGTAGATTGAGTCGGATGGGCTGAAGAGCCGCTTTACTCAAGTGTACAGCGCAGGAAAAGGACCGGATTCACGGCGGAAGTTCATATTCATGACTGCGCGACGGCGCAGTGCATTGTGGGAGTTGTAGTCCGGATGCAGCTGCTTGAAGGGGTGTTTTTTTTAACTCAGTTTTGTACATATTCATGACTGCGCGACGGCGCAGTGCATTGTGGGAGTTGTAGTCCGGATGCAGCTGCTTGACGGGGTGTTTTTTTTTTTACTCAGTTTTGGATTAGGATTTAAAAATAATAATGACAACAATTACAAAATTATAATAATAATCATCATGACAAATTTCGCTTTTGTTGACAGCAGTCAAAATCATCAGAAAACACAGTACATGCATTTCTACTATTATATGACATCTTTGGTAATGTTTCGTGTGTCCACATTTTATCGACTCTTATTTTCGTGTCTTCCGCTTGAGTGAGAATAACGGACAGAAAAAAATTTGCGGTTGTTTCCGCCCGGTTTCGAACCGGGGACCTTTCGCGCGGCAGCCGAAAATAGTTGAGCTTAACTTCCCTTAACTTTTTCCATTCATTCTCTATGGTAGTGCTTATAAATAATTGTAAAAATAATATTTATAGTTTATTTTCATTTATTTTATTTATACAGTATCATTTCTGTTTCTTGAAAAGAAAAAAGTCAATAGTGAAATTCACATTTGTAACAAATGTCCGCAAGGTGTCGCTCAAGATCAACAGCGGCTCCAAAAACTATTTGGACGCTTCATTCCCAAAAAACAAATGTCTGAATGTAATTGTGTTAGCTACGAAATGTCCTGCATTTTGAGGAAACGAAGCATTAGCACATTTTTTCAAGCAAAAATACCCCCAAAAAACAACAACAACAGTTTGAAGTGATATGTAGACAAAAAATATATAGTGGCACTTAATTTGACTTATTTTCCCCTTTAGATGAAATCCGTCATAAGCCCTCCTTCCAGAGCTTTTTATATCCAGTCAGCCCTAATATAAGTATACGTGTTGTCTTGGCCCGCGGGACAAACAGCACATCTGCGTTCAGACAGACGGAGAGTTTGGGTCTCATGCAAACCGCATCGCTTTAATGCTGCTCTCTGCCTCGGCGTCTCTAATATACTGCGGCCGCAGGCTTTCTCTAACGCTCAAAGAGATGTTCTCCTCCTCTTCCTGGCTTTCTATTTTTGATTCATACCAGAAAAACTCAAAGGCAGGCTGGGCTTTACCTCAAACTCTAGTGACTGGGGCATCTGGGAGCTTGCTGAGTTCTCAACAAACGTTGCATGTAAAGTTGTAATGAATAGCGTTGTTCTGCTGATTTGCAAAAAGGCCTAATTTGATACCAGCTAACAACAACACGTTAAGTAGCCTAGTTATGAAAACGTTCATGTTCTGTGAGCGTCCAACATTTCAAAATGTTGCTTTTATTTATGCGAACGTTCCATTTGATCGTTTTCCAGACATTATGGGAATGCTTTCGAATGTTCTCGGAACGTTCTAAAACAATAGTAACATTTAAAAAAATGTTAGCTGAACATCCAACTAAAATGTTTCCGGCAAAAAAAAAGTTCCTCTAAATAATATGTTTCTGTTAATGTTTTGAGAACAGCTTGTTCATAACTTTGAGAGAAATTGCCAGAACGTTCTGAGAACTTTTCCTGTTGGGATGAGGCTGAGATCAAAACAATCAATACAAACTTTCCATCATGTATATAATTGTATATTACATGTATCATCATCATTATCATATATATATATATATGTTTCATAAAATAATGAAGATTTTTTTCAAATGATCAGTTTTAATGACAAAAAGTATTCAAAAATGCATAATTTAACTTAAAATCTGAGTGGAAAAAGTGGAAATCAGGGTTAGGCATTATGTCATACATGAGAAAATGGGCTGAGAATAGAAATAACCATTGGCCCAGATGAGGACAGGAATCGTGTTTGGGCTGTTTTTCTGCTGATTAAGGGAGAATACAAGACTTCTTCACCTTACAAATGGTCTTCAAAAGCAAAAATGCCATCAAATGCATAATTTTGTGAGAAAGCGTGACATGTTCAAGCAAAACAGACACTATTTTTGGAATCGGCAGCTCAAAATGAGTAAGTCACACGTTGGATTTCATTCAAATAAGATGCAGGGTGGTGTTTTGTCCCATTGATGCATGTCAGAAAGCATTTCAAAACTGGTTAGTTTTTATTTCTGGAACCAAAGAAACACGAGCGTAGACACTAGCAACAAAACACATGGATGTTGATTCAGTGGCATGTGTTTTGACATAAAATGAGCTCTCAAAAGTAAAGCCAATGTAGTCACATTCAAAATTCAGAAGTGAAATCTTTTGTAGGGTTCAGGTGAGGTTGTTTCTGGAGTTCTAGCCGCTGTGGTCTCCACCCGTTCTTCGGACCACACAGACCGTCTCAGTGTTTGTACCACAGCGAAAAGCTGCACCGTTTCTCTCCCAGATGACAGACCTCCACTTCTGCACGACACGTTTTAAGTCCTGCTGAGATGCATGAAATCAGCTATAGTGATGACTACTTGATTGTAGTCTGGATTAGTACTGCAATATATTATATGCATGCTGTGCACAGTATGCAAATTTGTAAGCACAGAACCTGGGCCGTCCTTAGGGGGGTGCAACTGGTGCCCCGCGCTTGAGGAGGCCCCACGGCGAATGGACTCTAAAAGGAGACAACAGCTGATTTGACTTCCGGTTCATTCATCATGCTGGAAATGTAAGCTCAAGTTGAGCTGACAAGATTTTTTAATGATTTTGGAAGTCTCTTCTGCTCACCAAGGCTGCATTGGCCATTTGATCAAAAAAGTAAAAATGGTAACATTGTGAAATATTATTAGAATTTAAAATAACTGTTTGCTATGTGAATATATACTCAAATGTAATTTATTCCTGTGATGCAATGTTGAATTTTCAGCATCATTACGCCAGTCTTCAGTGTCACATGATCTTCAGAAATATGCTTTTCTGAACACTGTCTTCTGGCTTCCACTCACAAGCTTCCAAAACCTCCCTCTGTCTCTCATTGCTCATCTCTATTGTGTTAGTGAAACACGCCGAGACAGTGAAAGTCAAACACGCTCTGAAAACATGACGCTTCTGAAACAGCAGGTACAATAGAGTCAACGAGCGAGAGGAAACTATAATCTGATTATGAAATCAGCTCAAAGGTCCAAAACCCCCAAACATCACATCAACCTCAAACCCACATAAAACATTCAACAGAAGGGTGATATTTCATAGAGAGATAGATAGATAGATTGATAGATAGATGACAGACAGACAGATAGATAGATAGATAGATAGATAGATAGATAGATAGGTCATAACATATTGTATCCAATCACTTGTAAGTGTGTTCTCTTTTAGATGTTCTTTGGCAGTAGACCCACTGTGAAGAGCAGCAAGACTTCTGACCAATCAGATTTCTCTAAATAAAAAAAGATTTTGTGAGTTCATCGCTCGCATCTTCTGAGGAAACCGAAGAAACAATGTAGCGCTCTGTGGGCTTCGGCCCATTGTGACATCATCAGTCGGGGACATTGTCGTCATGGGGACGCTGGTCTGAAGAAAGCCACACAGGAAGTTTCCTCACAATGGCCTTTGTAATCTTATCAGCTCCACCAAATACACTCAGAGCTTGAGTCACTAGTCTTTTTAAGGTCTGATCCCAAGCGTTTTCTCTGTCTGCTGGGCAGGGATGGGCTGGAAGAGAAGATCCCTGTGGGTTTAATTATTAGTTTGGATCTGACAGCACATTTCCTGCGTCAACTCAGGATAGAAAATATTCAACACCCTCTATTGTTTCACACCATAGTGATAACAAATCAGCCACAAGGTCCCTTACTCAAGAACACTGTCGCTCAAGTATGCTGATTATCAGTGTCACAGACTGCAAATATGTATCAATGACATCCAAATAAAACAAGACAAATGTGCATCAAAAGTGCTAAGATTTTAAAGGAAGTACAGAATTTTTTTTTTGTGGTTGTCTGACATTGCACAGCCAAGAAAACTGTTAAAAACATGCCACCACAATCAAAAGAAAGAAATTATATTTTATAATAATAATAATAAAATTTTTATTTTATACAGTGCCTTTAAAGTAGCTTTACACAGTAGTACTTTACACAGAAAACACAGGAATAAAAATACAAAACATACAAAGCAAAAACAGTTAAAGCAATCAAGTAAACGCTAACCTAAAAAAGTATGTTTTTAGATTTAGACTTTAAAAATGCATAAATTCTGTGCATGAAAATGCCCTATCCCCTACAGTTCGCCAGTGTGTTTGTGGAACAGCCAAAATACTAGTTTGAGAGGAGTGCAAGCAACACTTAGGAGGAGCATATAAAGTTAAAAGGGCAGACAGAGGGGCCAAGGCCATGCAATGCCCGAAACTGACTGGAAACCAGTGCAAAGATTTCAAAATTGGGGTGATGTGCTCTTTCTGACTCAAGTCAGGATTCTAGCTGCTGAATTTGACACATATTGTAATTTGTTAAGTGTGGTGTTAGGGACCCCAGCGAGAAGTGCATTGCAGTAGTCTAAGTGAGAAAAAACAAAAATATGAATAAGCCTTTCAGTCACAGGAAAAGTCTAGCACTATTTCTGAGATGAAAAAAGGAAGTCTTAACAGTGTGTTGAACGTGTGGATCAAAAGCCAAATTTGAGTCAAATATAACTCCTACATTTTTTTGTTTAGTTTGAAACTCCAAAACAGCCATCTACATTTAAAATTTAACATTTTGAGCCATCTGAATTTTTGATCTCAGATATACAGTGTGAGAGAAAAGACATATCCACATTTAGACCAGACTTAGAATGAATATAAATCATCTGCATAAAAGTGGTAATTAAGCCAGAGTTGGAGCAATCCAAGTGAAAATATGTGACCCTGGAGCACAAAACCAGTCATAAGGGTAAATTTTTCGAAATTGAGATTTATACAACATCTGAAAGCTGAATAAATAAGCTTTCCATTGATGTATGGTTTGTTATGATAGGACAATATTTGGCACAAATATTGACA